TAGAAGATATTACTGCCTTGATGTTTTTAGAGCTCCTGCCATTTTCTTGAGGCTTTAAAGAAAATCACTGTCTCGGGTCGCACAAGAAGGAAAGGGTCCATGGTGAGGACAGGTAAGCAGAGATCTCTGAAGGCTTTGAAGGCTAAAGGAGAATAATGGTCAGGCGTGCTAGTGATAACCAGTGAGTATGAGAGCGCTGCCAGCAAAACCGATTATTTCTTCACGTTTGAGCGGCCCCGCAGTGGGACGCTGCTGTTCCAGGCCGAGCTCGAGAGGAAAGAGCCTCACATCCGAGCAGTGGGACACCCCAGGCTTCCAGAAGCGTGTCCACAGCGGGAACCGTCCTTAGTCTTCATGCTTGACCCACAGTGGTCTCTGGATGACGTCTAGCTGAACGTGTCATTTTGTCCGGGTGTCCTTGTGTTGAGCACAGTGCCGATGCGCGTCCCCCTGGCAGCTTTGATCCTCTGGGGCAGAAGTGTTACTCCTGTTCAGGATGAGGGCCCTGGGTTTTGCTCCAGCCACACAGTACCTAGCGGAGATGACATTGGGTCCCATCTCCCTGACTCCAATCTGAGGAAAGTGTCACCCTTTCAACCTGAGGCATCTCTGAATCCTTGACCTCTGACTAACCCCAGGGCGGGGTGGGAGTGTGTGTGGGGGGGTGTATTTTATTGCTTCCATCTCATGCCGGTGTCGTGTCCAGGTGTGTGTGCTTTCCCTCCTCCGCAGCTTTCCTGTGACAGAGTCAGGCTGTGGGCACAGCTTGTCCCCGCTGGGACTCTGTGGAAACGTCATCACTTTTGGAAGATCCTCCGATCTCACCAGAAGGCTACAACTGCTGGTCTCTGCCTCTGAAAGAAAATTCTATAAGCTTTCCTATAATGCAGCTTACAGTACAGTATTCACAGCGACATCAAAACAACAAAATATAGATCTGACACCTCTGAGGCATTTCAGGAATAGACAGGACAAACATGCAGCTAAGCACCGGGGTAAAAATTAAATTCTACTCTAAGTTATACCCTGCAAATAATTTTGAACCAGTGTGTGGATTTTTTTTTAGTTTTTTTAAAATGTTTATTTTTAAGAGAAAGAGAGAGAAAGAGTGTGAACAAGGGAGGAGCAGAGTGAGAGAGAGGGAGACACAGAATCTGAAACAGGCTCCAGGCTCTGAGCTGTCAGCATAAAGCCTGATGTGGGGCTCAAACTCCCAAACCATGAGATCATGACCTGAGCTGAAATCAGATGCCTAACCCACTGAGCCACCCAGGCACCACAACTGGATCATAGTTTAGAAACACAGTTTTTGATGATCTTATTTTAAGAATTTTCAACAACTTTATTTCTGTTTTTCCATTCATTCTTTATGTATAAGAAATAAGACCATGGAGAAATGCTTTAAACTTCTACTTAAAAGTGCATCATGTTTGATATCACAAACATATGACATTTCCCATTTTGATTCATTTGAATAACTTGATACTTTATAAGCTTGCTAACATTCCTGAATATACTTAAGCTTATTCAAAATACACAGGCTGCCATCTTAGAATCTGAGGTATTGACTTGGGGCCATAGTTAAGCCAATTTTTAAATTCTTATTGGAAACACTGAATTGAAACACTGTAATCTTCTCTAGAACTGTCTTCATTTCACATTTCAGCAAAGACTTAGTCTCTGAAGAATTTCTAACGCTAAAAATTGTGGCATTTTTTATCCCAAAATAATTATCTTGCTCAGAAAAGGGAAAAGGCATAGGATTGTCTTTATTTTTATAGTTACAATCATGTATTGGCAGCATATATGAACAATTTAGACATAAAATTATGATAATTATCATGGAAAAAACTGGCAACAAAGAGGCAGTATGTATAATAATCCTTTGCCTAGTTAAGTGAGTTCTATTTGTGTATTTATCTACTTAGGCATATTAAACACCTACAGCAGCAATATGGACTTCACCTTTTTGGTTGCCTTTTTCAGCATATATATTTCTTGCAGTGTTGAATACTGTATATTATATGCTTTGAGAACTACATATATATTTTTAATTGTGTACTCTGTTTTTAAATAAAATTTAATTATGCTTAATTTTGTACTTATTCTAGATTTTTATAACTTTTAAAAAATTTTTAATGTTTATTTATCTTTGAGATACAGAGAGAGACAGAGTGTGAGTAGAGGAAGAGCAAAGACAGAGGGACACACAGAATCTGAAGCAGACTCTGGGTTCTGTGCTGTCAGCACAGAGCCTGATGCAGGACTCAAACTCATGATCTGAGCCAAAGTCAGAAACTCAACTGACTGAGTGACCCAGACACCCCTAGAATTTTATAAATTTTTTAAATGTTTATTTATTTTTGAGAGAGACACACACACAGTGTGAGCAGGGGAGGATCAGAGAGAGAGGGAGACACAAAATCCAAAGCAGCCTCCAGGCTCTGACCTGTCAGCACCAAGCCCATGTGGGCCTCAAACCAACAAACTG